AAAAAAGACACTAACAAACTTTTATATTTAGTCTCTTTATCTTGAGTTTTATATAGTAAAAAAGAAGAATAATTCGTATTTTTTTTATTTAAATTTAGATAGTAAACAAAATGGCAACATCATTTTTGATTGACTAAATTGTATTGCTTCAAATTTTTGTTTTAAAAACTTCAAACTAGCAGAACTATTCGTAGCTGAAAACTTAATGCTTTTTAGCATCTGAAATTATTGTCATTAAATTGATGCTATAGGTCAAAAAGAAAAAGCTTTTTACAGGTATCAAAACGTATTTTTTGACAAAAAAAAATAAATTTTATTTTGCCTTTAAATCTTTGATCGTCTGATTGTTATTACAGACAGAGTCGATAACTTTATAGTATTCCGTGTTAATTTTATTGTCAAATTATAATATTGTTCAGTTGCCATAATGAAAATCAAAATGTCAAATAAAGGTATACTCACCTGTAATCAGTTATTTATTGTCTTTGTTTGTACACAAAAAAGAATCTGAAACATTTGAAGCAGCCAACATTTAAATAACGCTGTGAACAAAACTTCCGACAATAATCTTTTGCTTCTTTTCGAAGTTTTTAACATTTTTACTATTTATTGACTGTTTTGTTTAGTGAAAAATTTTCTTTAATATTTATATGTTTCGATAAGATAAAACATTGAACGCTGAACGGTTTTAAAATTAAACCAGCAGTTAACCGATCAAAGAATAATGATTTTTTAAGAGATTTAAAAAAAACATTTTTTTTTTGTCATGTAGGAGAATTTCGTTATGTTAAATGCTACCAAAAGAAAAAACTTAAAGTAGAACTTAAAAAAAGTAAACTTAAGTAAACTTAAGTAAACTTAAAGTTAAATGCTACCAAAAGAAGAAACTTAAAGTTATTACTTGTTATAAAACAATCATAGAGCGTGAAATCAAAAATGTGATTCACTCATTGTGCTTAAGCTGGTTATCAGTGTAAAATCACTTGTTTTTCTGGTTCAATGAAGTGACTTCTTGATGGGTTCAGTAATCTCTGCAATGTTAACATAATCCGCAGTAATCTTTAAGCAAGATAAGCTGTCAGTTGGATTGCTTCTTTTCTTAAAAAAAAAAAGGAAAAAAACAAACAGTATAGTAACTTGAAGTTGGGTTAGTTAGCGTTATAAGATGGTCAGCTAGTGAGCTGGCATGGTACGATCAAAAATTACTGATTAATTTTGATAGCCGTACGGTGCTAATACATCAGTTGATCATCTGATAATATTAAACAACCTCAACTTTCTTTTAATAGTCAAAAAAGGTTTGAATTGCATCACTCCTTCTCACGCCGATCTGAAGTAACGCTGCGGCATACGTCAGACTTGTTATATAAGTTTGTAACCGGCAAAACAACAATAATCATTAAACGATAAAAAAAATTTAGCAAAGCTGATTAGGCAGTCGTAAATTTGAAGTTTCGATGGTCAACAGAAACACTGTAAATTGTCAAAGTCGTAAAAAAAAGTTGTTAGTAGTTCTTTTTCGGTAAACAACTGTTATCAAACATTTGTAGAAAACAGAATAAACAGTTAGACTGTTTGTTACAACTGTTTATTCTAAACACCTTTCTTTGTTCTGCAGTTATTTTCAGTTTTGTTTATAAAACTAATTAGTTGCGTTTCTTAATGTTATACAAAATCATTAGTATTGGAGGAAGGGGACGGGGGGAGGAAAGGGAGGGGTGGGGGAGGAGAGGTTGCAATGAGTTTTTAGTGTTGCAAAAACAAAAATACGT